ACATGCAAGGGACCCATTTCCAAGGAGGATGTGGCTCCTGCCTAGGTGAGTCCAGAGCCTGTAGGGGCACAGACGCATGGAAGATCGCTGCCTCCCCACGAAGGCTGTCAGCTCCCGAGGGCCTCAGAGACCCCAGCCTCCCCCAGCTGTCGGGCGCACATTGGGTGTGTTGGGCCACAACCCTGGGCACAGCTGCCCCACCCGTGCCCTGACTTCAGCCAGCGTCTGAGGCCAGAACCAGAATAGGGGGCTGAGTCCAGAGGTCCAGAGTCAGGAGGCTGGGGTTCAAATCTGGGATCTCAGCCACCTTGACTCGGGCAGGTCATGCCAGTGTTTGGAGTCTCTATTTCCCCTCCTGGAGTAATCACAGTGAACCTTGCAAGGGTTGTAGTGGGGACAGCGTGTTCATGAAATATTGCCTGCGAAGTCAGTGCTCAGCAGATGGGAGCTTCCTTCCTGCTCCCTGCCTGGGGCTCTGCCCCTCAGCGGGAGTCAGGGTTCAAGGTGCTGTCAAGCGGACCCGGCAGGCCAGAGACCGGTGCAGGAGGGCTCCCTCCCGGCAGCTCTGGGCCCACCCCGTTCCCCCGCCCGGGCAGCGTGCAGAGCAGTGGGGGTGGGCCAGCCTCCACCCGAAGGACACTGCCCCCTCTGCATTTGCAACCTGCGTCCCCAAACCTGTGGGCATAACAGGGCTCATGGGAGAGGATCACCCCAGGAGAACATCCCTGCCCATGAGCTCCATGGGGCCCTGGGCAGCTGCTTGGGAGCAGACACACCTCCGGTCACAGCATGTTTGCCTAGCCTCCTGTGACGAAAGAAGCACAAGGCCTCGGGACAGGGACTGATGGAACCCAAAGAGCAAGAGCTCTCAGCTCTGACCTCGAAACCCAGCTGTGGCGCTCAGCCTCCTGAGCCTCAGTTTCCTCATCTGTGAGATGGGGTGATAAGCCCACTCATCCCAAATTCCAGGGAATGGCGCCGGGCGTGGCTCCATCGTTAGTGAATTGTGGATGTTTGCAAGATGAAAAGAGAGACCAATAGGCCATCGCCTGCACATCTGTCTTCTACACACTAGTCTGGGAGCCCTGGGGTCCAGGCTGGGCCTAATTGTGCCCTGCAACACCGATAACCCACAGGCAGGGGTGGGCATCCTACTTCACACAGCATGACTCTGATGTAGTCTTCAAGGCACTGCCAATCCTACTCGCAAGAGAAGCAAAATCTGGGAATTCCCTGTCAGTCCAGTGGTGCCAGGGCCTGGGTTCAATCCCTTGGGAAACTAAGATTCTGCAAACTGCACTGTGTAGCCAAAAATAAAAAATAAAAACAGTCAAACTCTAGGAATGGAGTGAAGGTATGCAGTCCCCTAAAGGGACTGAGAGGGCTGGTCATTCCTTAGACGCTATGCTTACTGATCCTAAGTCTCATCACCATCTTGAAACTAAGCCTGATTACTCCTATTCACCAATGGCAAGGCTGAACTTCAAAGGGCCCAGTACATCATCTCTCCGCTGGTATGAGACAAACCACGCTGCCTCTTCGTGGCTTAAAGCTATAGCCATGTGTTTCCTTCTAGGAATTCCGGGCAGGGTTCAGTGGGTGGCTCATTTCTGTTTCATGTGGCATCTGCTAGATCAGATCCACTGGCACAGATCCACAAGACAGCCCCTGCTGGTGGCTGACACGGCTGGGGCTCAAGTGGGCCCTCGGGCTTCCCTGGGGGTTCAGATGGCAAAGGTTCTGCCTGCAATGCAGGAGACCCGAATTTGATCCCTGGGTCAGGAAGATGCCCTGGAGATGGAATGGCTACCCACTCCAGTATTCTTGCCTGGAGAATTCCATGGGTAGAGGAGACTGGCAGGCTACAGCCCATCGGGTTGCAAAGAATCGGACAGGACTAGGTGACTAACACACGGGTGGGCCTTGGTCTCCAACAGGGCAGATAGACTCTCCCCTGGGTGGTCCAGAGCTCTGAAAGAAGGGAGGCAGAAGCTGCCTGGCCTCCTAGGGTTAGCTGGCCCTGGAAAACCTATGTTTTGTGATCAAAGCAAGTCCTAGGACCATTTTGACGAGAGAGGCAGCATGGGTCTGTTTACCCCACCCAGGGCCACACATCCTGGCAAAGCCAGGTGGGAAAGCGAGGTCTGAGCCATCGTGATCTCCTTCCCATGTTTGGTGTCCTTTCCCTAGGCTTTTGCACAGGCTCTGTGCTCAGCTGGAGACTTTCCTCCAGCCCTGACTTCACAGATGTGTCTAACTTCCCCAGACCCATCCATCAGGAGACAATCACTTTACCTGGGAGACTTTCCTGAGCTCCAGAATCCTCCCTGGTATTCACTCCCACGCTTCAGGAGCTCTGGACCACCCCGGGGAGAGTCAGTCTGCCCTGGTGGAGAGCAAGGCCCACCTGTGTGTGTGTGTTAGCCACTCAGTCCTGTCTGATTCTCTGCAACCCCATGGAGCGCAGCCTCCCTCTGTGTTCTTGATCACACTGCGCTGCGATTGCTGCTCACGACCACCGCTCTCCCCATCTGCCTCTCCAGTGAGAACGCAAGCTTGTGAAATCACGCCATCTGCCGCAACACGGATGGACCTAAAGATTGTCGTACTGAGTGAAGTAAGTCAGGCAGAGAAAGACAAATGTCATGTGATATCGCTTATATGTAGAATCTAAAAAAATGGTACAAATGAATTTACGAAACAGAAATAGATTCCCAGGCATAGGAAACAATCTTATGGTTACCAGAGGGTAAGCAGGGGGCAGGGAAAACTGGGAGACTGGGATTGACATATACACAGTTCCGTATATAAACACAGATAACTAATAAGGACCTGTGCTGCCGTGTAGCGCAGGCAACTCCACTGAAGAGTCTGAAATGACCCATCTGGGAAAGGAATCTAAAAAAGAGTAGGTACATAGAGATGCATGTATAACTGAATCACTTTGCTGTGTGCCTGAAACTAACAACACTGTAAATAAACTATACTCCAGTTAAAAAAACAACAAGTATGTAAGCTTGCACCTAGCACCCAGGGACACGTGGCAGGTACTCTGGAGTATTTGCCCAGTGAAGGAACCCAGGGAAAAGCTCTTTCTACACCACCTCAGCGTGTCTCCCATATCAATACTGGGCTTGTCCTGGACCCTCAGACAGAGCTTAATGTTCAGGATGCTTATTTGAAAGGTCCCTTGAAATTAACAACTATGTAAGGAACTATGGTGGAAAGGAAGTAGCAGTATGTGAGGGAAGCCCCCTGACAACTCTGAGTCGCCCCACGCGGAATCCTGAGGCTACAGCAGCCCATCAGTGGAGATGGCCAGGCTGTGATACTTCTGTCTGGGTGGTCACTGGGGTCACCCCAACAGGGGAGCTACCTTGGGCGACTCTACAACAGAGTCCTTGGGGGCGGCGGGGGTGGAGTGCTGAGGACTATCTGCTGTGCTTCCATCATGGAAGGGGGATCTGAGTGACAGGAGAGCAGTGGGGAGGTGGTGGTCACTAAGAGCTTCCCAGAAGGGGTGGCCCGCCAGCTGTCACCGTGGTTGGAGGGAGGGGAGCTGGAGAGCAGACTGAGGGTGGATCTGAGTCACCTCCATGCTAGGGGAGCTGGAGTTCTGGGTCCCTGTTTCCAAGGGACATCATTTCATTCCGTTAACACCCAGGGAGAGAACATGCAGCGCATCTGGGCCAGGCAGTGGTAGTGGGGGTGTGGCTCTTGTTGGATGCAGGTCATGGTGCTTTTACCTCCACTCCCTTCTAACTGTTGCACCCCCATGACCCACTGTCCACACTCCTTCCAGACTGATCTTTACAAAAACAAATCAGATATGCAACGCCTCTGCTGAAAACACAAAGTAGATTAAAACCCCAGCTCCTTCTTTGCCAGGGCCTGGGAGTCCCTCTTTGATCTGCCCTGCCCATCACTCCCATCTCACCTCCTAAGTTTTCCTGTGGGTCACCCAGCCTCAGACCATCCCCAGGTATTCAGCCTCAGGGCCTTGCCAACTACCGCTGCCTCTGACTGGAACCACTTTCCTTCCGGATGTTAGCAGAAGCGCTTCCTGTGAATTTAGAAGGCTTCAGCTCAATGTCACCTCCTCCAGGAAGCTTTCTTTGATTACTCACTTGAGGCATTTCTTTTTCATATTTACTCAGCAAATATTTATGGAGCACTCCCTATGTCCCGGGCTTCCCTGGTGGCTCAGATGATAAAGAATCCCCCTGCAACGGGGGAGACCTGGGTTCGATCCTTGGGTTGGGAAGATCCCCTGGAGGACAGCATAGCAACCCACTCCAGTATTCTTGCCTGGAGAATCCAATGGACAGAGGAGCCTGGCGGGCTGCAGTCCGTGGGGTCGCAGAGTCGGACACGACTGAGCGACTAAACACAGCCCAGCAGCACCATGTCCCAAGCACTTTTCCAGGAGATAGGGATAACAGGGTGAGCTGAGAGTCCAAACCTTGTCCTCTTGGAGATTATACTACATTGGGAAAGAGATCAACACTCAAGTGTAGATGAAAACAAAACACGATTTCTCAGAGTGCTGTGAAAAAGCGAGAGCGAGTTAAGGGGACAGCGCGTCGGGGTCGGGGTCTCGGACATCCAAGCTCACAGCCTTCTCACCCCACCCACGGCGAGGCTCTGGGAGCGGGAAGACAGCAGGGCTGCGGGGACGGTTACCTGGGCCCCACCCTCGAGGGCGGGATACGGGCAGTGCCGGGCCAGGTCCCCGCCCGCAGCCGCGCTGCACGCTCGCGGTCGCCGCCCTGGAGGCGCGCTCGCTCCCGGGAAGGGCGCGCTGGTGCGGGTCACCAGGTGAGGCGGCCGCGCGGCCTGCGGGCGGGTCCGGACGGGGCCCCGCCCCCCGGGCCGTCCATAAATGCGCAGGGCGGGCGGCCGCCGCTGTGAGAGCGCTGCTAGCAGGTGACCTAGAGGTCGGCTCGCCCCGCGTCCCGTCCGCCGCGCGCCTGGGTCGGGCCGGGCTCGGAGCCCCAGCCATGCTGTTCTGGCACACGCAGCCCGAGCACTACAACCAGCACAATCCCGGCAGCTACCTGCGGTAAGGGGCTCGGGCCGGGGTCCGCGGGCGGGGCGCCGTCGGACGTCCGCGGGCCGGGAGAGGAGCGGCGGGGCCGGGGACCCCGGGCGCCCCCGCCGCCTGCTTACTCTGCGCCCTTTGGGGACGGAGGGAGATCCGCCCCGACTCCAGCCTGGGACAGACGCTCGGAGCTGCGGGCCCGCGCGGGAGGCGGGTTCGCAGAGCCCAGTGCTCGCGGGGCTGCTCCCCCGACGACCCCGGGCGGGCACGGAGCGCGCATCTCGGGCCGCAATCTCCTCGGGGTCTTTCCACCTCCGCGTTCCTCCTCTCCCGCTCACGTCGGAGAGGAGGCTTCCTGCCGTCGGTCTGGAGCTGTCCCGGGAAGTCCGGTCCCCTGCTCTTTGCCCCTCTCCGCCCGGTCCCGCTCCGAGCCTCGCGTCCTCTCCAGTGTCCTTGGTCTGCCCGAGGGGCGAGCGGGCGGCGGGCGCGGCCCTGCGCTCCGCCTAGCGGGCCTGCAGGGGGCGGGCGGGGGCTCGGGGGGGCGGGTGCCCTCTCCCACCAGGTGGTCTTGGTGTAAGGGTCCGAGGCCCGCGCGTTGATTGCCCTTGATGGAAATCTTTCTTCTTCTGCAGGGATTTGACTAGTGCTCTTCAGAGGGAAAAGTAAGTCCTGCCTGTTTTGCAAAGTTCTCTCTCCCGTCCCCTTGAAGGAAGCGGCACCCCCGTTAGCTTCAGTTCCTGGAGCATTGTTTTTCCCTGTTGTGCAGCTGGCCGGGTACTAATGGGCAGTCATTTCACTTTCTGAACTCGCCTGAACCAGCTTTAGCCTGTCTTGATTTCCATCCTAGTCACAGTTTATGAAATGTGCCTAATTTAACCCAAAGGGCATTTGATGTGAGCTCAGAGAAAGTGAACCGTTGGCCAGACCACCCCACAGAGAGAGCTGTCCTGCCTGCTTTATTTTATTTTTGACCCCCAGAAGTTCCAACTCAGATTTAGCAGTACAGGTGATGTGGAAATCCTAGCTTTGATAGGTATTTGTCCAGTAGTCTCCTCTGAAGACAGCCCAATTCCAGCAGGCAAAGGAGTGGTTGGGTATTAAGTGTCATGTCTGCTGTGTTTTATTCATGGGCAAGAGAGGTAGGAGGTGGCATAAGCCTAGGGCTTTAATTAAGGACTTCTGTCTCACTGCAGACCGTGGTGATCCACCAGAGGCAGGCTGCTCTGGGAGGTGTTAAGCCCATCAGGCAGATTTTTTTTTTTTTTCCCTGCATTGTGTGGTATATGGAATTTTAGTTCACTGACCAGGGATTGAACTCGAGTCCCCTGCAGTGGAAGCGGTGAGTCTTAACCACTGTACCTCCAGGGAGTTTCCCACTGGGCAGATGTTAATCTCTGGCAGAAGACTGTGTCCATTGACTTACCCGAAATGCTACAATGGAATACATTTTTATTGTACGGCAGGATGCATTTTAGTTGTAATTTTGCCTCAGTTTTAGTTTGTAGCGATTCAGTTTGTTGCCGTACCTTACCAATGACTTTGAAGGTGACCTTGAGTGAAGAAGTGAATGTATGTAAAACTTCCTGGACACCAAAAATGTCATCCCTTTAGGGAATAATTCTCCTCTTGAACTAGGGGTGCCCTTACTTTAAAAGTTTGGTATTGCATTCATCCTGGTGAGGTGGTTGGGAATTGGGGTGAAGGGTGCCATAAGGCCAGATGGGTTTCTGGGGTCATTTGGGGACCGTGGATAAAGACTCATTTGGTACACACTCTCTTTTTTATGTTACTTCTCGGAAGTCAGGGCTTTCACACTTGGAGAGGGTGACCTTGATGGATGCCACGGGGAGGGTCCATGAACACGCCCTGGTCCCCCTAGAGTGAAGAAGATCTTGTTCTTTTGCTTGGCTTGTGCATTTAATTTTGGTCATCTCATCACTGTGCAGCATTTCTTCAAGTTGTCTGACCTTCCTGGGGTGGTGGCCTGTACTCCCTTCTTCCCTGCTTCTGTTTGATGTTCCGGTGACTTATTCCTCAGCAGATAAGGATACCAGGATTGAAATAAGCTACTGTTGAGTGATGGCTGTTCCCCCAACCCTGGCTATCCCCACCTTTTTTTTTTTTTTAATTTAAAGCAGCAGCCCATGGATTATTAACTTAACATGGTCTGGGAAAACATGAAATTATGCAGTCCCCCGGGGAATCAGATCTCTCTGCTTCTCCCCCATTCCTGGATAACCACTTAGACTGGGCCTGTGCCCCAATTTGGCCACGGGAAGGCATGAGGTAGGGGACCCAGGGCAGTGGGTGGTGGCAGGGGTGGCCCTCCACATGAGCCACAGCTGGACTTTTCCTTCTGAAAATTGGTCTGACATGCTGGGGTATGTGCCTGGCTTGTGTTTTAGATACTTGTTTATGGTATTGTATGAGGAATAGATTGTATCAGTGACTCTGCTGTTTACATAGTAAAGTGGGGTCAGTGAATCTGATTCAGCACCCGGGACACTCAGAGGGTGGAGGCTTATAAAGATAAGGGCACAGGACCTTTTTTTTTGGTGCCAGTGTCCATACCATAATCTCTTCATAATCCAGAGAGCTTAACCAAGTAAGTCCCTCCTGCTTGCAGGTCATTCATGTTCTCAAAGATTTCATTTTTCCTTGGGGATGCACTTAAAAAAACACAGCTAGAAATAAAGTTCTCCAGTCCTAGGCTGATGTGAAGCTGATTTTTCGGATCTGATGGGAAATTTTGTTTAGAGGTGGAGGAAAAGAGTCTTTGAGCATCTCAGTATTTTCCATTTGGATGAGAAAACTGAATTGAAACCATGATTGTTCTTGTTTTGCATTTAAGAGATATTAGCATGACCCTTAAAATAGGGTTTATGGGCCAGCTGTCCTTTCTTTTTAGAAGTGTAGAAGTAGGTCTCAGTTTTTATGAATGAAGTAGACAGTTTCTGTATTTGCATGGTTCACAGAGCCTAGAGGACAGGATTGTCTTGGTCTGAGATGTGACCAATAGCTAGAAGAGTTTATTTAAAAAACAAAAAATTGTGTTCGAGTTCTTGTTATAAAAGCCAGACTCTTGCAGATGGAAACCACGCGACATCTGAATAAATCTCTCAAAGGTCACAGAATGAAAGTAGGATCGTCCAGGATTGGTCTCCTCTGTTGGAAAGCATTTTAGAGTGTTGGCGACGCCGTGTAGGGAGCTGAGCCTGCTCGCTGCGCTAGGCTGGGCTGTGTGGCCCCCGCTGCTGCCCGAGGTTGGCCGCTCAGGCCTGCCTTTGTGCGTGGGCTCCGGGGGCCCTGCTCCTGACCCCTGCCTCCTGTGTGTTGCAGCGACGTCCTCGCTCTGCCGATCTTCAAGCAGGAGGAGCCGCAGCTGTCCCCCGAGAACGAGGCCCGCCTGCCGCCCCTGCAGTATGTGCTGTGCGCTGCCACGTCCCCGGCTGTGAAGCTGCACGAGGAGACCTTGACCTACCTCAACCAAGGTGGTGCTGGGCGCCGGGCCGGGTGGGGCCTGGGGGCTGCGGGTGCCACCCAGCCGCGGGGAGTCGGCCTGAGCGGCTCGTGTGGGCCTGTTTCCTCGTCAGGGTGGGAGAGGTGGGGTTTGGGAAGGGGCTTCTGGCGTCAGATGGCATCCGTTTCCTGGCTCTGAGACTGCCCGGCCTCAGTGTTTTCTTCCCCAAAAGCGGACACGTCAGCTGGGTCTCGCTCAGGCCACGCAGTGTTTCACACTCCTCGTGTGGGCCCTGCAGGGAGCAGATGATGCTCGGTGAACGGCGGCCCTGGTTATACTTGCTGTTTGCTGGGGCCACACCTGGTGCCCTTTCCTGGACACAGATTGAGCACCTTTCGGGTACGGGGTCAGCTGCCCTTGCTGGAACTGCACCTGTCAGTGATGGGAAGGCCCGTCCTTGAGGCTGGATCCCACATGTGCGAGGCAGGAGCCCTTGGCAGCGATGGGGACGAGCGTGCTCACCGTGTCCTGGGAGACGTGGCCCGGGGCTTGGACTTGGCATCCGATCCCAGCCCTTCCCAGCTCTGACTTCCCCTCGGAGCCCCAGTGTGTCCACGTGCGACATGAGAAGTGTTATTTTGTCACGTTTGAGAGCGTGAAGGTGTGTGAAGCGCAGTTTCCATTTCTGATGTTCTTTATCAGGACACGTGGCCCCGTGGCCTAATCCATGACCTCTCTGGTTTTTGTGTGGTTAGGTGTCTGTGTTGATTGTCCTTCCTGCCCGGACCGCCTCAGAGGCCCTGGCATCCGGTGGAATCATTGCCCCTCCGTTTTAAACGGGAAGAGCCAATGAGCTGGGGGATGCAGGGCTTTCTGGAGGGAGGTGGTGGTGGGGGCAGCGGTGTGGTTACAGTCTGTCTTACACGGGCGCTTCCTTTCTGTAGAACTTTATGACTCCCTGATTTGGGGAACGGAAGTCCAGATGGGGTTGGGGCGGGATGGAAGTCCAGCCTGCCATCAGGCTTACCTCTGACAGCCCAAGCTGCCCGCTTCTGGGCCAGGAACGGGCTCAGAATTAGCAGGTGGCTCTGTGTCTGCCCCTGGATGTGGCAGGGGGTGGGCATGCTCATCCCTGTGAGTGGCTCAGCGGGTCCCCAGGCCAGGCTCAGGCAGTCTCGGGCACCCAGCTCAGGCCCCGAGGTCTGTGTTCCATCTGCTGAGCCCGGGGACCCCTGATGGCAGGTGCCCTGGATGGTGGGAGAATGCCTGTGTGTCTGTGCTTGTTTGTGGAATGGCTTTGGCCATTTTCCTTTCTCTTTCGCGGAAGGTCAGATGCTACCAACTGATGGACCTTCAGGCACGGCCGTCCCCCCCTGGGCCTGTGCTGTCCTGCCCAAGTGTCGCGTGAAGAAGCTGGGCGATGTTTGCGGAGCGCTGGGGTCTGGGGGCTTCTTGCTCCTGGCCTGTCGTGGGGTCCGAGGCCCTGCTGGACCTGCTGCTGGTCCAGGGTGCCCACCTCTCCCGCCGCTCCCCACCCGATCTGTAAGGCCTTTACTGTCTCCCCCACCCACCTCCACCCCTTCCCTCCTTTCTTTATTCAGTCACCTTTGGGCAGTGTTTGACAGTCAACACTCATCCTTTTAAAAGAGTTATCCTTTGCTCAATATAGATAAGTTGAAAGAGAGGCAAAAAGAGCTGCCTAGCGGTTAAACTTGGTGTATTTACTTTAGATCTTCTTTTTTAGTTACATGTTCCCGGTTATTGAAAATAATGCATGTTCATCAGACAGGTAACCAGTCAGAACCTGTGGCACAGGGAATTCTGTTCAGTGTTCTATAATGGCTCTATGAGAAAGGATCTTAAAACAAGCGGACATGTGTATATGTGCACCTGGTTCACTTTGCTATACGTGGGAAACGAATACAACATCGTGAATCAACTATACTCCAATGAAAATTAAAAAAAAAAAAACATGTTCATTATAGAAAATTTGGGTCATTTAAAAAGCATAAGAAGTAAGTTAAAATTTAAATCGAAATCTCTAATTTCACCTGAGAGCCATTGCTAACCATATTTCTACATATTTGCATATGTAAAATTAAAATTATTATAGTGCTGCAGATATATGCCCTGTTTTCTTTATTTACTATATTTATGAGCTTTTCTCGTGTTATTAAAAATGCTCTGAGAACTTACATTTTTGTAATGGTTGCATGGTATTTCAGAGTTCTGTTAACTTTGACTAGTCTCATGATATGAATACTTAGTTTTCAGTTGTCTTTGTGTGAAATGTTGATTATTATTTTAGATAAATATAAATTAGAAGTACACTTACTGGCTCAAAGGAGTTAAGTGAGGCTTTTGCTACATCTTACCAAATTGACTTCTCAGCTGAATGTACCAATTTACAAGGTAGCCAGTAGGGTATGTTTTACTGTCTCTTATATTGGATATTGTTGCTTTTCACCTCATTAGTGAAACAGGATTTAATCTTAAACTAGCATTTATATCATTGCTAATGTGGCTGAATATTTAAAAATATATTTATTGATCTTTTAAATTTCTCCATCAGTTATGTTCATGTTCTTCACACACTTTTTTTACTGGGATGGTTCTATCTTACTGATTGTAACAGCCTATCCTATATGAAGAATATCATATATTTTTTGTGATGTATTTATGTATGTGATAATTATATTTATTTTGTGATAATTATATTTATGTGTGAGATATATATCATGGGTTTTTTTTTTCAGTATATATTATCAAACCTTTTCAGTTTTCTAAAATAATTTTTCTTTTATGTTTAGAATACCTGCCTACCCCAAAATCAGCTTACTGGTTTCCTAAATTTCATGTTTCTAAATTTTTACAGTGCAATGCATTTGGAAGTCTTCTGGAAATATAATGTCATTTAGTGATACTTTGGATTATTACTGCATAAAATATATGTATTTATTTTTTTTTCCCTAGTCTTACCAGTGGGATTTATACTTTCATACGTTGCACTAGAAATTTATGATGTGATGTAACAGACTACGTTTATTTATTTTTCTAAATAGTTAACCTACTAGTTGACACCTGGTTTATCTCTTATTCTCACTGGTTTAAATGCTGCTTTGAAACATTTGAAAAGCCATATTCTAAAGTATTAGTCCAGAAACAAACCCTTGTATAGATGTTTGTGTTGTACACCTGATATTCATTGATTCTTGCCCCATTTCTAGTTGCACTAATTAGAGCTTGGAAATATGTCTCTTAGATGTTTTCAATCACTTATTCTTAAAGATAGATTTTTATAGCCATTGAATCTTCCTTCTATACTTAAACTTTTTTAATGAGATTATATGCTTTAAGTTGTTTTTTGCTTTTATTAAATACTTTTCTTATAACATTTTCTATTATAAACTCAAACACCACTTAAAATGTCTGCATCTGGATTATGATTAATAAATTTCATCTTCCACATTAGCTTCTGAGCTCAAGAAGGATTTCATTTCCTTTATCTTTGTCTTCTCCCAGGCTAGGATTCTATCCAGAACAAAAGTTGAAGGAATTAAAAAAAATAAAATGTCTGCATATTATTTCACTATTTTATGTTGTTATTTGGGACAGATTATTGTCATAACTCCCGGTGGCTCAATTGGTAAAGAATCTGCCTGCAATGCAGGAGATCCTGTTCGATCCCTGGTTCAGGGTGATCCCTTGGAGAAGGAAATGGCAACCCACTCCAGTATTCTTGCCTGGAGAATTCCATGGACAGAGGAGCCTGGTGGGTCACAGTCTGTGGGGTCCCAAGAGTCTGACCCAATTTAGTGACTAGACCACCGTCACATTGTAGGAAATATACAATGCAATCATTTGAGTGTCTCTCTCTCTCTCTCTCTCTCTCTTTCTCTCTCTCTCTCTCTCACAGAATGGAAGCTCTGTGAGGGCAGAGCCAGGTCTTTGTTTTTAACATTGTATCTTCCGTGTTAAGCTTGGGGCCTTGAGAGTAGTTGCTCTGTGAATATTCAGAAAATTAAAAACTAGGCCTGATTGAGACTTCCCTGGCAATCCAGCGGTCAGGACTCCACACGTGCACTGCAGGGGGCATGGATGGGTTCCAACCCGGTTGGGTAACTGAGACTGTGCATGCCATGCAGCAGGGCTGCGGGTGGGCGGGGAAGACATGGTTTGTTTCCATTTTCTCTTCTCTCTTTCTTGCCCTCTCTTTTTGTTTTTTATTTTTTGCTGCTTTTGTCAGTATTGCTGTATTGGATGTCTTTTTCAGTGTACCTTATTTAAAGTAGCTCCTATGTCTATGTCACATGACAAGTAAGCATCAGTTTTTTTAAAATAATAGTTTTGACATATCAGTCAATAGTCAAATTTTCTGTTTCATTAAACGTTAAGCATTTAAGGTTCCTTGCATTGGCTCTATGATGTTTAGGGCACTATCTCTCTGAGGCCATTCCATGTCTTCTTTCTTGTAATGGTGTATTTAAGGTTCTCTGAAAACAGGGAAGGAATTGCTGTTATTCACTAAGTTGTGTCCAACTCTTTGCGACCCCATGGACTGCCACACACCAGGCTTCCCTGTCCTTTACTGTCTCCCGGAGTTTGTTCAGATTCATCACCATTGAGTCAATGATGCCATTCAAGCATCTCATCCTCTGTCACCCACCTACTCCTGCCCTCAACTCTTTCCCAGCATTAGTGTTTTTTCCAGTGAGTCCAGTCTTCGAATCAGGTGGCCAAAGTATTGGAGTTTCAACTTCAGCATCAGTCCTTCTAATGAATAGTCAGTGTTGATTTCCTTTAGGATCGACTGGTTGGATTTTCTTGCTGTCCAAAGGACTCTCCAGAGTCTTCTCCAGCACCACCAGCACTTTTGAACGCATCAGCTCCTTGGCGCTCAGCCTTCTTTATTGTCTAACTCTCATATCCATACATGGCTACTGATACGGACCTTTGTCAGCAAAATAATGTCTCTGCTTTTTAATACGCTATTTACGTTTGTCATAGCTTTTCTTCCAGGGAGCAAGTATC